CTCACTCACTCACTCACTCACTCACTCACTCTCTCACACACACACACACACACACACGCACGCGTGTGATTGACTTTGCTCGTCCACTCCTGCAGGGTGAACCCAGTTCTCTGATCGATGAAGATGCCGTGTGCTGCATCTGTAACGATGGTGAGTGTCAGAACAGCAACGTCATCCTGTTCCACTTGAGCCCTGCAGACCTGTTGGTTGACGTGCAGCGTGTGTGTGTGTGTGTTTGTCGTGCAGTGTGTGTGTGTGAGTGTGCGAGCGAGAGAAAGTGTGTGTGTGTGTGTGTGTGTGAGAGACGTGCAGCGTGTGACTGTGTGACGTGCAGTGTGTGTGTGTGAGTATGAGTGAGAGAGAGAGAGAGAGAGTGTGTGTGTTTGCGTGTGTGTGTGTGTGTGTGTGACGTGCAGCGTGTGTGTGTGACGTGCAGCGTGTGTGTGCGACGTGCAGCGTGTGTGTGCAGCAGATACCGGTTGTGATGTCTTGATCTGTGTCTTGCATATGGAGGGACTGTGTTGGCGTCTGCTGAATTTCATTACTTCACCCTTTTCCTGCTTTTCTCACAGACTCGCATTAATGAACATTTACTCCAGAGGATGATGAGTCTTTAGATGTTGCATTGAAGTCTTTTGAATGTGTGACTCCCCTTGAAATTGCTGTTAAAAATATTATGGTTTTGGTTCGGTTACATGTCACTGTTTGGTTCCGATTCACACACTCTTGATTCGGTTTGATCTCGATTCATTTGGATATATATATGCAGTGTTGGGGGTAACTCATTACAAGTAATGCGAGTTACGTAATCAGATTACTTTTTTCAAGTAACTAGTAAAGTAACGCATTACTTTTTAATTTACAAGAAAATATCTGAGTTACTTTTTCAAAAAAGTAATGCCAGTTACTTAGTTTTCCCAAGTATTGACTGTGATAGGTGCTTGATATAAAATAAATGGTGCTTTAAAAAGTCCTTGAAAGTCCTTGAATCTGTTGTTCATGAAAGAGTGGGAACCCTGTTTTTTAGGGAGTAACGCAATATTGTAATGCATTATTTTTAAAAGTAACTTTCCCCAACACTGTATATATATATCAGGTACAGTACATGTCAAAAGTACCTCTCTGAACTAAAGCTGTAAACTACACCGGAAAGCCTGTCAGTTGGTGCAATACTATAATATTAAAGATTAAGCTTAAACTATTACATTTGATTGCTATGCAATTTTAGATATAATAACCATTAGATGTGCACATAAGGCTGTTTTTATATCTACTTTTTAATGATGTAATTGCTTCTACTCCAATTTGTTGCTGAAATATAAACATTTAAATGGTAGCGCTGTCATAAAAAAATATTTTCATGACAGATTCATGACAGAACATACACTCATTAATGAAGGCACTAACAGGTGAAGGAAAAATGTATATAATGAATATGTAATATAGTGCATATATTTAGCAAAAAGCTTTTCTAGTTTTTTTTTCTAGCTCCCTAGCAAGATATGGACATTGAATGTCTTTCCTGAGGTAAATGTGATATTACATGACATTATTGTTTTAAAGATGTTATATTTACGTCTTTCCACTGATTGATCGATCACATGAGACATGATGCATTTCAGTAAGTTGTTCTTTCTTTCATCATGCCTTTATTCCTGTGTATTTGGTGCTGTAACAAATAGTAAAGATGAGATGAGCGGTTCACGTGGCGTTTGATCTGTCAGGACAGGTTAACAGCATTTATTGTTTGAGTTTTGTGATTTAAATTGTCCGTTTGAAAGCTCAGACTTAGTTTCTTCACAAACATCGTGCTTTGTTGCTTTTGTTATTACAAGTAAAGTTAAGTGATGTTGTGACACATCAACAAAAAACGGCATAGCCCGAAAGGTCGATCTTGGGATTTAATCGATATCACTTCATCAGAATTAAAGATTGATCATGAAATTGATAGGTAGCACTTTAGTTTTGGGACCAATTCTCACTATTAACTAGTTGCTTATTAGCATGCATATTACTAGCATATTGGCTGTTTATTAGTACCTATGAAGCACAAATTCATGATTTATTCTGCATGAGCATATTTTACATACCTAAACTTAACAGCTATCTTACTAACTATTAATAAGCAGCAAATTAGGAGTTTTGGACCTTAAAATAAATATTGACCAATCAATATTGTTAAACTAGCCGTTACTAGCAGTGACAAGTGGTAAGACCAGCTTTTATTAGTTGCTTGGACTGTGAACATCAAATGTGTTCCAAGTTGCTGCGCTTTTTGTTAAATTTAAATTTTTAATTTTTTTGGTTGCCTCTAAAAAGCATTTATTTATGTCTTATAGATGTCATATATGGGACCCTGGAGCACAAAACCAGTCATAAGGGTGCATTTATTTGTGCATCATCTGACAGCTGAATAAATAAGCTTTCCATTGATGTATGGTTTGTTAGGATCGGACAATATTTGGCTGAGATACAACTATTTGAAAATCTGGAATCTGAGGGTGCAAAAAGATCTAAATATTGAGAAAATCATCTTTAAAGTTGTCCAAATGAAGTTCTTAGCAATGCATATTAATAACCAAAAATTAAGTTTTGATATATTTACGGTAGGAAATTTACGAAATATCTTCATGGAACATGATCTTTACTTAATATCCTAATGATTTTTGGCATAAAAGAAAAATCAATAATTTTGACCCATACAATGTATTTTTGGCTATTGCTACAAATATACCCCAGCGACTTGAGACTGCTTTTGTGCTCCAGGGTCACATATATAGTCTTAGTTTTATGTAATGATAGTAACCCTGCTGCATGGAAGGCACTTTTTGCCTTCTGGTTATGGCACATTCAGGTGTTGTTTTTCCCGCTTTTCTTTCAGGTGTGTTTTGCTAATACAGTCTTCCTGGAGCCCATCGACAGCATCGAGCACATCCCTCCTGCCCGCTGGAAGTTGACCTGCTACATCTGTAAACAGCGCGGCTCTGGTGCCTGCATCCAGTGCCACAAAGCCAACTGCTACACCGCCTTCCACGTCACCTGCGCTCAGCAGGCAGGCCTCTACATGAAGATGGAGCCGGTGCGCGAGACCGGCGCTAACGGGACTTCATTTAGCGTGCGCAAAACAGCCTACTGCGACATCCACACGCCGCCAGGCTCCGCCCAACCGCTGGGGGGTGTGGGAGGGGCCAGCGCAGGCTCCTCCCACAGCGAGGGCGAGGCGGAGGATGAGGAGGATGTGGCGGGAGGCGAGGAAGACGGGAAGGGCTGGAGCTCAGAGCGCGCCAAGAGGGCCAAAGCAAAATCACGGCTGAAGATGAAGAGGGCCAGAAAGATCCTGGCCGAGAGGAGAGCGGCCGCGCCGGTGGTGTCAGTGCCGTGTATTCCACCGCACAAGTATGCACGATATCTGCTTTGATCCCAAAATATTTTATGAATAAGTCACTTGGCATGATCTCATGCACTCGTGTAGCATACAGTGAATTTCTCGAAGTCTTTTGCGCCCAAAATCTAAAGAACATAATATGAATTACATTTCCTTTTTTGAATAAAATGAGGTCAATTTTAGGAGCATGGTATTTTACATAAGCACATTTTCTCCCCAAATTCTCATTACTGTAATGTAATGAGACTAATGGCCCCAATATATTTCAAGTGAATTCAAAGAATGAACAGGTGTGAAATAATTTCAAATGAAATCTGGCCAAAACTAATGTGTTTTGGAGATTGTTTTAGTGGTTCAAAAACAGTCCAAGAAGGTTGGACACAGAAGCATGAACACTCTTGAGTGCCAAATTGCAGATCTGGCGCAAACATATCCATATCCACAATGGATGCTCTGCAGTGAATGGGTGCCGTCAGAATGAGAGTCCAAACAGCTGATAAAAACATCACAATAATCCACAAGTAATACACAGCACTCCAGTCCATCAGTTAACATCTGGAGAAGACAAAAGCTGAAACAAATCCAGCATTAAGACGTTTTTAACTAAAATATGTGTTGTCTCTCCATAATATTGCTTTCTCCAGTGAGGGTGAGTTTTCAGCAAATTATGTTATTGAGAGAATAGCTGGCAGCACTTATTTAGTTACACATGTAAACGTGGTGTCAAAATGTTCGCCATCAGAATGAAGAAGAACTTTGCCAAGTGAATTTTGGGGCCTTGATGGCTCTTTAGGAAATGTAATGGGCTAATGTAATGTGTGAAGCGCTCTCTGATATGAAGCGTATTCTGGAGCACTGAGAGTGTCATGTCTTGTGCTTCAGGTTGAGTAAGATCACCAGTAACCTGACGGTGCAGAGGAAGGGTCAGTTCATGCAGAGACTGCACAGCTACTGGACGCTGAAGAGACAGAGCCGTAACGGCGTTCCTCTCCTGCGGCGTCTCCAGACGCACCTGCAGTCCCAACGCAACGCTGAGCCGCTCCCCGCCACGGTGCGTACACGGGACGATTCACTGCGAGACATACGAGGATGAGCTTCTCACTGACATCACGCTTGTGTGTTTGAGCAGAGAGACGGCCTGGAGAAGCACTCGGTGTTGAAGGAGCAGCTGAAAGCGTGGCAGAGACTCCGGCACGACCTGGAACGAGCTCGGCTGCTGGTGGAGCTCATCCGCAAGAGAGAGAAGCTCAAGAGGGAGACCGTAAGACTCGGTCATCTTACACATTATCCTTAAAAGGAGAAAGACTAGGGTTTAGTCTATGAGCCAGACACTTGAGAATGCTCTAGTCAAGCAGTTTGCAGCAAAACATGATCATGTGTAAACATGAAATTAAAACTGAGCCCCACTGACATCCAGTTACAACAAACTCCTGAAGTTAAGAAAACCTTTCTTGCAACCAGTTGCTGGTCTTCTTGATAACCTGTGGCCAAATAGATGTGCGGGCATTTTAGTGAACTCACTTTTGGTCAAACTTCAAGTTTTTTTCATCATCCAATCAACTCTCAGTGGATGAAATCAAGTCCTGTCCTGCATTTATTTTTGATGGATATGTGACCCTGGACCACGAAACCGGTCATATGGGTCAATTTTCAATCGTCTGAAAGCTGAATAAATAAGCTTTCCATTGATGTATGGTTTGTTAGGATCGGACAATATTTGGCTGAGATACAACTATTTGAAAATCTGGAATCTGAGGGTGCAAAAAAATCTAAATATTGAGAAAATCATCTTTAAAGTTGTCCAAATGAAGTTCTTAGCAATGCATATTACTAATCAAAAATTACGTTTTTATATATTTACGGTAGGAAATTTACAAAATATCTTCATGGAACATGATTTTTGCTTAATATCCTAATGATTTTTGGCATAAAAGAATACATGCATACATACAATGTACATACAATGTATTTTTGGCTATTGCTACAAATATACCCCAGCGACTTAAGACTGGTTTTGTGCTCCAGGGACACATTTGTGGTTCAATTTGACTTGCATTCTGTGTTATTTTGACTAACAAGTATTTCTGTGTTTGTTCAGATCAAGATGCAGGAGTTGGCGTTAGAGATGCAGTTGACTCCGTTCCTGGTGTTGTTACGGAGCACTCTAGAACAACTGCAGGAGCGGGACACCAATAACTTCTTCATCGAGCCTGTACCTTTAAGTGAGGTATACACACACACACACACACACACACCACACTCACACTCTCTCTCTCACACACACACACACACACACACACGGCCCTTGTAGAAAGACGGTCTTGTAATAATACTCATTTAACATGGTGACACATTTAGTGGCCTACATTTCCATCGTTTTGTTGCACTGCGAGATTTCATTTCATTTGAGATTGTTTTAATGATGTCATCAGTCATCGGCCCTTCACAACAGAGGGGATCGTGCAGCTGCTGGACCCTCTGCCTTATGTTCATGTAAAGACTAGGAAAAAGCATTTATGTAAATGTTAAATTATGTTTTCAGCTGAAAGGTGGCTAGTGTGACAACAACTTTACTGTATTAATATAGAATTGAACTGATGTGCAGTCACAGGTATGTGTGTACGGATATTTCACAATGCTCTGAAATGTGTTTATCCTTAACTTGAACATCTTTGTGGCATTAAAGTCATTCTTCAGTTGTTGTTTTTTTACATAGCTTCACATACTGTGAAGCTGTTTTTGCACTGACGCCAGAGTTGTCATCTGTTATGATGTTCTCTGAATACTTCAGATATAACCCTTACTGTGAGTGTGGTTGTGTTGTGTCTTCCCCAGGTCCCAGATTACCTGGACCACATCGAGCGCCCAATGGATTTCCAGACCATGTGGAAGTGTTTAGAGTCGCATCTCTATCTCAGCTTCGAAGCTTTCGAGGGCGACTTTCTGTTGATCGTCAACAACTGTTTGAAGTATAACGCCAAAGACACGGTTTTCTACCGCGCCGCACTACGCTTGCGAGAAGCAGGTGCCGCTGTTTTACGGCAAGCTCGCAGACAGGCAGAGAGAATCGGATTCGATTATGAGACAGGCATGCATCTTCCTCGAGAGCCAAGTCCAGATTCACCACACGAACGAGAGAGAGAGAGACAACGAGACAGAGACAGAGACCGAGACCGAGAGAGATCAGCATCACTCATTGATGACGGTGAGTTGGCCTTCTCTATGAAAGTTTTCTGTATGTTAACTTTAAGTAGCCCCAACAATTAAAATCATAGAGTCATAGTTTTGACATAATACGTTGAACTACTTTTTGTAGTAAAAGTCTTCAGAGCAAGGTTGTACACAGTGTTCAGACATTCAGATTTTGGTAATAGGTTTGCAGATATTGTAGACCTCAGAATGTACATTTCCTGAAAAGGAAGAAAAAGGTTTCAGGTCCTGTTTTGCACCTTTTTTCATGGAAAGTGAATGTTCTGTTGTTGTTTTTCCTCAGATTTCCTGGTGGAGAATCGGCGGCGTTTGCCTGTAGAGGAGCAGCTGCAGATCCTGCAGGCGTGCTACGATGAGGCCATGTCGGGGAAGCACAGCATCGGTCAGTCGCGGCGAGCTAAAGCCCTGAAGAAAGAGATGACAGTACTGAAGCGCAAGCTGGCGCACCAGCGCGAGGGCATCTGTGGCATGGGCAGCCGTGAGTCGGGCCTGTCTCTGGAGCGCGGCTCGGTCCTCGCGCATCACGCCTCGGGGGGAAACCGGCACGGTGAAGGAGAGAGCAGCAGCCACGAGATCGGTGGGAAAGGTCAGAAATACCACAGACAGCTTTGAGCCAGCCTCACATAACACAAACTCAGACGTGATGCCTCTAATCGTGCGGCTTGTTGAGGAAAGGTGTGCTGTTAGTTTACACAGCGATCAGACTTCAGATCTTTTGCCTGGTGGATGAGAAAACGGTTTAAATAAATCCTGTAGACTTGCATTAAAGGAGGGACCCGAGCCATAGAGCACTGGGGTGGTGAGCTTTGCATGGCCAAACACCTTTAATATTTTCTTCAGAAAATGTGAAAACCTAGACTCCAGATCAGGGTTGCCAGGTTTTCACAACAAAACCCGCCCAGTCGTGTTCCGGGTGGGTGGGGGGGGTACAATGCACGTTTTTTTGGCACATTTCACATTCCAGGGGCTAAATATCACATTATTGGGGCCGCTTCAAACCACGGACATGAAAACAACCCGCGGCAACAGTGTTAAAGTAGTCCACCTGACAACACTGCTCCAGATGCTTTTTAGTTCTTTTGTGCTGTATTTGAAGATAAACATGAGATTTGAAGTCAAATAGAAAAGCATTAATGACCACACAAGCCATATAGCCTACTCATATTATCATTATTAATATTGAATTTATGTGATATTTTAGCAGACGGTGTATATATAATGTTGGTGGGAAGGGGTGAGCACTATTGCATCTCATTTAAAAGACCTTAGTCAGGGAAGCAACATATTTATGTGTTTATGAATTTGTTTTTGACAGGGATGAAAACAAGGCTGTGAGGGACTGAAGTACAGTGCGTTCAGTGGACTGTACTGTTGTTTAACAAAGTACCCATTGTTCAGCTGATGAGACATCTTTCTGACAGGAAAAAACAAACAAAATCAGCTGATTAAAAACTCCATAAAACAGTTTTGGAAGTTGTGAGTTGTGAAAAATGCATGAGCTAGAACCCATGGCCTCATTTTCATCCACGCTAAACTCAATATGGCATCTAACCTGACTAAGGTCTGTATTATTGTTTGTTTTTAAATTAACGAAGCACTTAATGACAATAAACATTAAATAAATCATATAATTGGTCACAAAAAGCTGGTTTGTGTGATGTTGGATTGAATGGCACAGTTTTATCTTTTTATCTGCTCCCATAAAGCTTTAATATTTTAATAAACCACCAGCGGTTCTCGATTGCAGTCCTCGTGTACCACCGCTCTGCACATTTTATACGTTTCTCTCATCACTTCAGAGGTTTGTTCTATTTGACCGTAAGTGCCCTGCGAAGTGGACTTCACTGGATATTCCTCCATGATTCCAGCTCGAAACGAGCGTCTGTGTTCCATTCAAAGGGCATCAAAGTGTGCGAGACGTGAATCTAAATTGTATTGCTTTACAGAGGTATGTTATGTCACACTCCACACTTCTCTAGTTAAGTTTCGTCTGTGTGTGAAGACGCTGATGATCTGAATCAGGTGTGTTTAATAAGAGAGTCATGTAAAATATGCAGAGCGGTGGAACGCCAGGACTGGAATTGAGAACCACTCTATTACACCATTCGACCCAAACAAGGTCTTCGGCACTTTAAATGGACAAATATTCCTCTCTGTAGATCTGAGCACATCATCTTCAGCTCTGGCCCCTGAGGTCGGCCGGCGTACCTCTGTCCTCTTCTCCAAGAAGAACCCTAAAGCGGCCGGGCCTCCCAAGCGCCCGGGTCGACCCCCTAAGAACCGAGAGGCGCTGCATGGGCTGGGGGTGCTGAGGTCCAGTCCAATAGGCCCTCCGCAGCTCCCCTTGCTCACCTCGTCCCGCAAGAGAGCCCACAGTCCCCAGTCCAGCTCCAGCTTCGAGACCGACAGCGAGCACGATCACCTCATCCTGGGTACGTCTGCAACTCTGACACACAGTCAGCCTCTGCTCCACACGCTCAGTGAGCTGCCTACAGAAGCATCAGATCTGACGTGCCACCTAATAAATGACACATTCAGATCAGTAAAAAGCCAAATCAGCAAAAGCCATCTTTACACTGCAGAGAGAGGTGGCACAGAAGCGGCATGTGACATGGCATTTCTTTAATGCTGCTCAAATTGTTTTCACACAATTTCATAATGTTATGAGATTAATGTTAATTATCATACATACAGTATATGAATCGTAAAACAACAAACTGGCACTCGTTACAAGTTAGGGCTGCAATATTGCAATAAATCATTACCCATCTGATTATTGCTTTTGCTGTTGTAATAATGATTATTAATGATTATGATTATACAAAGCGTTTTTGTGTTCGGGGGAAACGGCACATCATATTCTTTAGCTACGCAAACAAACCAATCTCAGAACTGCTAGAACATGAATTCGTTTATTGAATTAGCTTAGAACATTGGTTTAATTAATTGTTTTTTTTAAATGCGTTAGAAAATCAAAACTTCACATGGGTTAAGTAGTATGAAAAACCAAACAAATATTCAAACTGGGAATAAATTACATGCAGAAATTACATTTCCCCATCGCTGAAGCAGTTTATGACTTATGTTTAGTGCAGGTTCTGCGTGTTTGCAAAAAACTCCCATTATAATCACTGACCATCTCTACACTGTAAAACGAATCTCTTGCTTCCATCATAAACAACACAGTGCAGAAATGATGTGAGGTGGATTTCTGCACTGCTGTCTAGTCTAAATGCCTCTGATTGGCCATTGCAGTACCATTGCAGACACTCATAATCAATATAATTGTGCAGGAGCAGTTTTTGCCCCTCATCTTGAATTGGGGGGGGGCATTTTTGTTAATTTTAGTGGCATTTTTGCCCCAAGCCCTACATACAGTCTCTGGCTTCACTTTGATCAGATTGCCAGTTCAAATTTGCATATGAAGTGTAAATGTCACGAGTCAAATAGTCTTGCATAGCCAAACCCTGCAGTTTAAACAGACGGTGGCGATGAGGACGAGTAAATCTGTGATCCCTGATATTACCCTGTGTTTATATGAACATGCTGTCGAGTCCCATCATATTCAGTAATGCTGCAGATGTGACTGCAGGCTGTGAAATTACATCCTCAGTTCAGCACCATTCTACATTTGTTTTGCTGCCGAGAGACTTGTGTGGTTCTTCATTGAATCCTGCTGTTTAAACTGGATGCATGTCAAAGTTTCAGTCATCACCGCTCATATTCACACACTGACTGAGGAAACTCCCACACTTCTCAGTGAGTCAGATGTTTTCTGTAAAGAGGCTTGAATGCTGGGAAGTCCCCACCATCAGAGGACTCATGAAGACACCAGATTGAGTGCTCGAATACAAAACAAAGCCTGGTTCACCCCCAAAAAAATCAGTATTTACTCGCCTCAGTGCCGTTTACGGTGGAAAAACAAGAAATTTTGATCATGCAGCTCTTTTCTATACAGTGTCTGTTGAGGCTCAAAAAGAACATAAGACATCCGTATGATTAGATGTACTTGTGCCATTCAGCCGTGTCAGTGTTACACATCGCTAAAGAGTACAGCACATAAAGCACCACAAATGTGCAGCGTGTCAGTCTCTGTGTACAGGTATATGGAGAAGAGCTTTGTGAGGATTCCTCAGAAACTCGCTCCAGCAGACACGTCAGTGTAACCACGTTTCTCTTCATGCTGTGCTCCTCTTAGATCTTCACAGTAATGGTTTTGGTGGAAGCAGCCAGCCGAAGACCGAGAGTTTCCTGGTGTACAGGAACGAGCGCAGTCTGCCACGCTCCAGCTCCGACTCAGAGTCTACCAGCAGCAGCAGCAGCAGCGCCGCGTCTGACAGGACCAGGTACATACACACACACACACACACACACACACACACACACACACACACACACACACACACTTATAACTAATTAAGGGATTTTTAATCGAAATTTGGCATTTTCATCACTCGTTTCTGATGGCGTACATCAAAATGCATTTAAAAACAGGGTGATGGAAACATAGCTAGTGTAACTGAGTTTCTCTTCATGCTGTGCGCGTCTCAGATCTTCACAGTAATGGTTTTGGTGGAAGCAGTCAGCCGAAGACCGAGAGTTTCCTGGTGTACAGGAACGAGCGCAGTCTGCCACGCTCCAGCTCCGACTCAGAGTCTACCAGCAGCAGCAGCAGCAGCGCCGCGTCTGACAGGACCAGGTACATACACACACACACACACTCACACACTCTCTCTCTCTCTCACACA